TTCAAAGAAACCCCATCGAGTGTACAATCGTTCATCATCACTGAAGAAAACCCAGGGTCTGCTCTGTGATTAACCGTTACTAGCTTGCTTTTGAAGGCATCGAATGTTACAAGCCAGTTTTTCACTATTGAGCTGTTAAAGCTCGGTCAGAATAGAGATCAGCTGCCAGGCTCTGGTCATCTAGATTTCTGGAGATGCACCTTTATGCTCTGGTATCATCTGCATGGATATTTACTAATGCGTTGAGAATGGTAATATAAAGCAAAGAAATGGTTGTTGATGTTAACGCGATTTTTGGTTTCATCGATTCTTCGGCCCTCATCAAATGTTTAGTTTGTGAAATCAAAGAAGGGAGATCACTTTAATTATGATTGAGTCTGTGTGTGTGTCACAAGCATGCTGTCAAATAAGTGTGCGTAGAGAAAATTCTTTGTATATATATATATAATATAATATAATATATAAATTTAAAACAAAAAACAATGACCGCATTTTTATTTTAACGAAAATATTGCTTGTTTGTTTTACGTAAAAATACGTAAAAGAAAATATAGCACAGTAAATAATTTTAAACGATTTAAATCCAGAGATGCTTGTATGAACATCATGAGACTTATATTCAGAAATATCAGATCATTGAAAAAGGTCGTGCCCGATTTTCATTAATATGAAATGACTGCAACTTTGGATGTTTATTTTGATGCTGATTTCTGTTGTGTTCTACATTAAAACTTTGCATCGTTCAGTTGCGACTTTGTTGAATGAATGCCTTAAATATGTAAGGGGAATAGTTACACTTCCGCCATATTATGCTCTGTGAATTTCGGAAAGAGTAAGCGTCGGAACCGTGAGAAAAAATTCAGAATCTTTATTTGGATCGTGCTCCTGCTCTTCGGATGGTCGAAAATTGGTTTGACAGATTTCGTCAGGGTAATTTTAGACTAAACGGTCAACGACGCCCCGGGCGACCTTCCGACATCGATGAAGACGCTCTGCTTGAAATCGTGGAGAATAAACGACGAAAGAGATTGCTTAGAATTTTGAAATCGTTATCTCAACTTCGTTTCGCTATCCGAAGAGATTGAGTTCAAGAAAAACGGCCGATTTTGGCAAATCGATACGGTGTCATTGTCCATAAACGACAACGCAAGACTGCATCTTGCAAAACAGACATTGCAGAAACTTAAAAAGTTGAAATGGGAAATCCCCCAGCGTCAACCATATTCTCCTGTTTTGTCACCTTCGGGTTTCTATTTGTTCCAGTCTCTACAAAACAATTTAAATAACAAAAAAGTGGATTCTGTACAGTGAATCGAAAACATTACAACTGTCTTCCAACATAAAAAACGCAAAGTTTCTACCAAAATGACAGCAACAAGCCTGTAGAACGATGTGAGTCAGTTGCTAAAATCAATGGAGACCATATCGTCGTTGGCGGAATTCGTTGCCCAGCAGTATTCGGTTGCTCATTGACATATCCTTCTGTGTTAAATGAGTCCTATGTTGGATCTGAAGAAACGTCTGAAGCCACCATATGGTAGAGTAGGAGGATTCAGGGAATAGAGACGTCTGGCTTTTCTTTGAGGCGGAGAGGGGGGACTCTCTTCCTCTCTTCTATTTGTCTTTTCGTGTTTTCGAAGAATGTTTTTTCAGGGACTGCTCTTCTTCAATTGGTCCTTTAGAAGCGAGAAGAAAAGTCTTTGAGAGTGAAAGCCTTGGATGCGAATTATTTGACGTGGTACATGGGTTGCAACTCCATGTCACACGTACTTCAGCCGACACCATCCACTGCAGCAAAGCAGACCTTGACAGGCAGGTTAATGATGACAGCTTGCATCGGGCTACCAACTTGTTTTCGTACGTAGAACGTCGCCTTAACCGCCTACCCGCCCGTCGTCGGATCGTGTCTCTGAATCCTATGGCGACTATGGAGACTATGTACTAAATGTACATAATAATAAATTCAGGTTTGTATTTCCAGTAGACGTTGACATATTAACATTAAAACAACATAATCGTACATAAGGATTTTTGTTTTGTTTTTCCGTATATATTTTTCTTCATAATAATAAATATAATATACATAATAAAAATGAATAATAAATGTTTTTTGTGAGTAATTCCATCGTGGAGAATAAACCAAAGGTTTCGACAGAAGAGACTGCTGAAACTTTGAAAACCAAAATCTCAACAGCCTTTCGCTATTTTGGAGAGTCTTGGATTCAATAAAAATGGCCGATTTTGGCAAATCCAAAAGTCGGCATTTTCCTTATGATCATTTACTTCTTTTTATTCCTATTATTTACCCATTATATAGCAATTATATAGCCATTATAGTCATTTATAGCAATTATATAGCCATTATAACAATTGCCATATTTATAGAGAAGCCATGTAACAGCATTGGGAAAGTGACTGAAGTCGAGATGCCAGGTGAGGACCGATAACATTGCAGACCCTTCTTCAGATTTTGTCGAGAATCTCGAGATATATAGCAAGAGCATCAGACCAGACATGGCGGCAATATTCAATACCCGGACGAATGGTAGATTTATAAATGTGCAAGATGGATTCAAACACGCAAAATTGAACCAACTGTCACAACACAATGAACCAACTTTTTTAGAAACAGACGTAGCAATTGATTTAATATCACTCCACTACATTTCTACTCCTTGTTACCTCGCCCACATGAATTTAAGCGTGCTACTATATTGGTAACTAAATCTCATCGTTTCAGTATTGAAATAGCTAGATGTAAACGCCATTTTGTTTTCCTGATTCCTGTTTTCTTTTATTGTCCTTTCTCCTCAAAAATGTCTTCTCATTCTCTTTCACTATCAGTAACCCCAAGCGTATTAGTGACATTATCGCCTTGTTTGGGGTGAAATTATTTAAAAAAATGTCAGTGGAAGACGTTTCCTTTTATCTTTGCTATTCTAGGCTTATAGTTTATAAATGAAATCGGTGCTCACTGAGATAGTGTCATAGTACTTTTAAAAGTAAGATCGTTCGACAATGGACATTACATGAAAGTGGCTGCACCTCAAAACTTGTTAAGTTATGTCTATTCTATAAGTAGGCAATTTATTGGTGATGAGTTAGGTGGGGGCATGCTGATGACATAGGTATTCATAATTGGGATAAGAATGATCTTGAACAGAAAATCAACATCCTCTACCAACTGTTCTAAGAAATAGAACTAAATATAAATCATTTATCAATAGCCACTGCTTTTTAGAGTCTCTCTCTCTAATGCTATCAGTTTATAAAATTTAAATAAAACTACTACCGTATTTGTTATGCTTCACTTTTCCAAATGAATCTTACAATTCTCATCTCTGAACATTCACTTCTCGTATTTAATCGTTTCTTAAATCATGTTCTTGCCAGATTTACTAGATTTGAATATCCTTCTAAAGATGACAAAATTACTGCAGTATATTAAACAAGGTTAATCTTCTTTATTTAAAAAAATGTTCTTAACGAAATCAGGCACACAGACACATGAAAACACAGAAGGATTTGTGTTCAATGTATTCAAAGCGAAACGCATCTCTCTCTCTCTCTCTCTCTCTCTCTCTCTCTCTCTCTCTCTCTCTTGCATAAAGTCCCAATCTATAATTCGACTTCAACCAACTTCAAAGCAAATAAACGTTTCTAACCGCGCAGGTGAAAATCAGAGCACGTGACTTGTCATTTGTTATATATATATATATATATATATATATATATCAATGCGTGTATTCGTCTTGAATTAGATGAATTCAAAAAAAAAAACAGATCCAGTATAGCAGCCCAGATTACCTCCCAAGATAATACTCGTGTCACTGGATCTAGCCTCGTACAGAATATGACTGGGTCTAGCCTAGTACAGAGTATGACTGGGTCTAGCCTAGTACATAATATGACTGGGTTTAGCCTAGTACAGAGTATGACTGGGTCTAGCCTAGTACTGAGTATGACTGGGTCTAGCCTAGTACTGAGTATGACTGGGTCTAGCCTAGTACAGAATATGACTGGGTCTAGCCTAGTACTGAGTATGACTGGGTCTAGCCTAGTACAGAGTATGACTGGGTCTAGCCTCGTACAGAATATGACTGGGTCTAGCCTAGTACAGAGTATGACTGGGTCTAGCCTAGTACAGAGTATGACTGGGTCTAGCCTAGTACTGAATATGACTGGGTCTAGCCTAGTACTGAATATGACTGGGTCTAGCCCAGTACAGAATATGACTGGGTCTAGCCTAGTACAGAGTATGACTGGATCTAGCCTAGTACAGAGTATGACTGGGTCTAGCCTCATTCATCCGTCGGGCTATAATATAGCTTAATCTAAACTTTGCCCAACCAGGTAAGTCTCCAACCCCCATTTTACTATAAATATCAACAACTGATTTTTCTAAATTATACAAACTGTTTATAATGCCAGCTATAAACTCATTTAACAGTAATCGCGTATCCACAATTCTTAAAACGAACTAATATTGCTCAAGAGAGATAGAGAAAAAGAGAGAGATAGGGATAGAAAGAGAGATAAAGAGAGAAAGAGATAGATAGATAGATAGATAGATAGATAGATAGATAGATAGATAGATAGAAGGAGAGAGGGAAAGAGAGGGAAAAAGAGAGAGAGAAGAGACAGAGAGAGAGAGAAAAAAAGAGAGATAGAGAAAAAATGGATGAATTTTTATCATGTAAAAGTTGGTTGGATGTTTTTGTTTATCGGCATGTCAACATCTCTGTTGGTAATTTAATGCCGAAATCTAGATATTTTGTATGCAATTTTATTTATTTTTATATACTGTTTTAGATAATAATAGTTTTAGGGATACAAGTTTCACTAATTAACTGATAGCTGGGGGGGGAATAAGGTGGATTCATACCTTTCCCAAGTGTATCCACGTGCAGTGTAAGTGAATATAACGAACCCAAGTGGAATTAGAACTCGTCTCTCTAATTAACAATTCCGACCCATTACACCACCCGCACATCCAAGCTTTACAGCACCTGGTATTCCCAAGCGGTCACCCATTTCGGTACTGACCAGGCTTGATGTTGTTTAACTTAGTTGATTGTACAGGTACTGGTGTTTCAACATGATGTTACCATAAGCCTCAATTAATACAGCTGGGATGAATAAAAGCAAACCAATTGCCGTAGTGTAGGCAAACTTGTTCATAACGAATGACCCTTTCATCAATCAATTTTGAGTAAAATCAGTCGGCACCCAGAAATTACATCCACCAATATGCAAATTATGGAATCAGAATAAAATGGCAGGCTGCAAAATATGCACAAGAAATCCCTGTGGATGTCGAATACGGCATTGTCCATAATTTCCTAGATTACCGTCCGTGAATGCAATAATACACATCGTATTACATAGGAAGAGGAGGGGGGATATATTTTGGTTTCGGTGGATATCTATGGGTAAATAGCAGGACAGACTGGGTTCTATAGCCTTGGATGGCAACTGGTCTAGGAGAAGGAAAACTCTGAATTCAAACCTGCTCTTAGATGAGGGTGAATGGAGTCTCTCTGAGCCTTGGTTGGCAATCCATTTAGTGTTGGTGTCACGATAAAAACACCCTTGATAGCCCTAGCGAAGCATCAAGAATTCAGCTATTTGACAAGATTATGAACTACACCAATCAAAGTATTAGTGAGTTCAATCTCGGCTGAGGCCGCAAGATGATGATGATGAGTCTAGCCTATTTTTATATACGGAAGTACAAACTGATTAACTATAACTTCTACCCGAGACTAACTTATAATAACCCCAAGTGTAACCATCCAACATGCAAATTACAGATTGCGGGTACCGGAATCAAACAGCTGCAACAATTTAGATATTCAGGAAGCGTATTAACAGAGGACCGGAAGTGTGACATGGAAACTGGTAATAATGGCTTCTCTAAACTCATTCTACTTTCAACGTGCATCCACATTTCTAGAACAGAACTAATATGATAAAAGTAAACAGACTGATGTTAGTGTATAGAAACTTCTTCATAATAAATGACCACTCTTCATTTAATTTGAATAAAATCAATGGATATGATCCATAATTTTCACAGATTATCGTCTGTGTGAGGCAAAAGTCATGCACCATAGAGATAATTTATTAAAAGTATAATTAGACATGAAATTTTTATTTACTAATTATTTATTTGTTCTTTCTATATGATGTTCAAAATGTCCTCCATTTTTTTTTCAAAACACATTTCATTTCTGAGCCTGCGTAATTCACTAACACGTCGGAAAATTCCCTCCGTCATTTTACTGCATTCATATTGAATTCTTTCTTTAAGGTCCTCAATGTTTCCTGGGCCCGTCTGATAAACAACTGATTTCAAACCATAGAAAAAATCCAAAGGTGTGAGGTTTGGTGACTTCAGTGGTCACTCAACAGGACCTCTTCACCTATGCATTGACCACTATGCTTTAGCCTGTACATCTTAATACATAGGAAGAGGTCTCAGGGACTAATATATTTTCGTCTCGGGGAGAGATACATTTTGGTCTTGGGAGGGATATAGTTAGGTCTTTGATGGGGGATGTATTTTGGTCTCATGGAGAGATATATTTTGGTTTCGGGCGGAAATATTTTGGTTTCGGGGGCGGGGGAGGGAGAATATTAAAAGTCTAACCTGTTTTTATATATTTTGTATGAACTGGTTAAGCATAACTTATACCCTGCCGATAAATTGGCCTTGTCTAATTCATATCCCAGCCTAGCTAAGCCTAGAATAATCACAATGGGCTGAGGGTATACTCTGGGTTGGGGGTTATTTCCCTGAGTTGTTACAACGGCTGAAACGTAAGCAGACGTTGCAGAAGAAGTACCTTAAGCTGACAAACACAATAAAACTGGTTAACAGGAAGAACAGAGCATTAACTTCCCATTGAAGCTTAGTTAATGAAATTCTTGATTTTTTAAAGGAAAATAGTCTAAAAGCGATTATTTTAAAAGGAGGGTAAATTTAATTTTTAAATTAATTAACATATTTCGCATTTTGATATTTCATATGTTTCATTATTAGACATACAGATACACTGGTTTACTTGGTAGTTAACGTTGTGCTGTATTTTCCATCAGTGCCAGCAGTCAGTGTTCGGACTTAGGATAAAAAAATAGCAGGCCTTTGAATGCTGATAAATCTCGCTTTCCCTATTAAGACGATTGGCGCAGTACAATCTTGATTCTTTCGTGTCATATACTTATATATTGAGTGTGTGAAAAAATTTCCAGCTTTCTCTTTTTTAAAACTAAAAATCGAATACACAGTTGAAAAACAATTTTTTCAGGAAACGTTTAAATGCATATATTTTCTGAAGAAGTCGGTGGAGAGATGAAAGTATAACAAAGTCATATTTAATGATGAGCGGCGATAAAAAGTTTACAAATTTGTCAAAAGAAATATTTACACTGACAATTGCAATTCATTGAATAAGCACTGACAAACCAGCCAAATTAAAAAGAAATCAATCATAATATTTATATCGAGCAGTTTACACCGATTTAGCAACGAAAATAAACTTCTCTAAGTTTAATTCGAATTTAAATTTGTTCCGGTTGACAACCAATGTATGCACTCGTCAAATGTCTCATTTGTCTTGTTTTTCTGCCACCCGCATAACTCCAGGGTGGCTGGAGACATAACAACCAAACTTTATGGGACTTCGGAGCCTTTTATATATATATATATATATATATATATATATATATATATATTTTAAATTCCAAAACTTTAAAAAAAACAACACTTTAGATGGGTTCGGTTTGTACTCAAAGTATAATGCTAAACTAGACCCTTACTTTGTGTCGGTCAAGTTAGCTAAACCAAGTCTTTATCTTCATGTTTAATTATATAAAATAGACGCCCAGCCAAATATTCCAAAACATTTTTAAAAATTTGAGAATGGTATTCAATTTACAAGTGTAAATATAATACTAAATTAGACCTATACTTTGTGTCCGTCAGGTTAGCTAAGCCGCATCTTTATCTTTCTGTGACTGTACTTGAAATTCTCTGTAAGATATTTCAGCTAAATGTAATTCAAGAGTGGGTGATTTTCAATAAATAGATCGTTCAATTATATGATCTTTCGTTATACCCCCAAAACCCCATCAAGTCTTTCCACAAGAACTAACTAGATTAAAACTCCGAATATATACAGAATGTTCAACTTGTTCTAATAAATCCATTATAACGATTTTTCGCGAATAATTTTTATTAATGGCAATGAACTCTAGTGAGTTGTAAGAAAATCACAATGCAAAAACCTTTTAAAGCAGACACGCTGAACATCTCCCGGGGTTACTTTCAGTTATTGAGACCCGGCTAGCAACAAAAAAAAAAAATTATTTGTCGTTCCACAATGAACAAAAAAGTGGACGATCCCTGTTTAGTACAGAATTAAGTCCAGGAACAATAACTGAATAGTCCCTTACAAACGAAGTATAACGAAACATTTCATTTAAATTCATTAGTTTAAAAAATTAACAAACAGGAAACTGCCAGGCCATCTGGTTGCGCAAGAAAAACTGTGAACTGAGCTGTTCTCTCCTTTCCTCCTTCTTTTGGGCAAGGGATACATACAATGGCTTCGAACTGATGATTCTTTTGTTCATATGCATAATCGCCTTAGCGGCATCTTCTGGCTTTGAGAAACAAACGAAGCCAAATCCCTTAGAGTGGTAATCTTGCATCATGACTTTAGCACTCGTCACTGTGCCGTACTTAGAAAAATGGTAACGCAATGTTTCATCATCGACGGAATCATCCAAATTCTTTACGTACAGATTGGTGCCTTGCAAGCGATCCACTTTTTTCTTACCTCCTTGGACGTAATCTCTTCGGAATTTATCTTTCAAGAATGACTCCCTTTCCCGTTTTGTTTGAGCGCGACTTGCGTACAGTTGTCGACCGTTAATTTCTTTACTGTTCATTTCGTCCACTGCCTTCTCAGCATCATTTGTCTTATCGAAGCTTACGAATCCGAATCCTCGAGATTTACCTTTGGAATCTGTGATGACCTTGCAACTTGTGATAGTACCGAATTTTTCAAAAAGAGATCGAAGTGAATCATCGTTTAGGTTATCGGCAAAATTTTTCACATAGACGTTGGTAAATCCTTCATTGGTACTTCGTATCCGGTCTTTGCGTGGAATAAACTTACCAACAAACATTTTTTTACCAATCAGCAACATCCCATTGGTTTTTCCGATGCAATTCTGTGCAGCTTTTTCACTGGCAAAATGTACAAAGCCGTAACCTTTCGATCCCTTTTCGTCCATGACAATCTTGCTTGACAAAATGGGACCGAAGAGTGAAAAAGTATCGTACAACGATCTGTTACTAATACTTTTGTCCAGGTTTTTGATAAAGACATTCCCCACACCAGATTTGCGAATTGCTGGATCTCGCTGCCAATGCATTATTCGGATTGGGCGACCCATCACGGGCTCAAAGTTTAATATTTCCATAGCTTTTTGAGCCTCGTTCGGTTGTTGAAAATTTATGTAAGCATACCCAAGCGATCTTTTTCTTACTAAATCACGACATACTCTGATAGAAATGATGCAACCATATGACGAAAATAATTCGTACAGCACACTTTCTGTGACATCTGGATGCAGATCCCCGATGTACAATGATGCCATCGGGTGGGGTACTGTTGCGAGGTTCATGGAGCCCAAAGTTATCCGTTCTCACAGTGTTTCTTAGACTGAATTAGTTAAAACCGTGTGGATAAGACAAGATGGGTTTTAGTTATGTTATCTCTCCTGGCGATCATTAATAAAACTGACTGTATTTTGAATTAAATTTCTGCGTTCAAAACACATTACTGTAAAAACATTCTCACGTCGCCAACACGTTTAACGCGTGATGTTGCTACAGTTTCTCTTTTAAAGTACGTCATTTAAACTGTTAGTTAATTTTGCATTTTCTAAATTTATAACCTTTAATCTGCGTATATTTTATGTTTTTCTTTGAAATTCAAAAATTTTTTAATTATATTTATATATATATATATATATATATATATATATATATATTAATCGTATATCGCATCAAAAGAAATTTCACCGTGACATAC